AACTACGGGACCAAGCTGGGAGTGAAGGCGGTGCTGTGGATGTCGGAGAAGCTGCAGGAGGTTTACCGTAAGGGTGAGCCGAGGACTGGGGGTCCCGGGGTGGGATGGGGGGCAGGAGGTTGATGGCATTGGGCAGCCTCTGCTGCTCTGGGCTTGGCCACTCAGCCCCCAGCGAGGTGGCCACGGTCGGCTGCGTTCCTCTCCCAGGGCGCGTGTTTGCCAACTCGGGTGACTCCGCCTGCGTGATCGGGCTCAGGAAGAAAGTGGTGGCCTTCAGCCCCGTGACGGAGCTCAAGAAAGTCACTGATTTTGAGTAAGTCCCCGTCCCCATGCCCCAGTGGTCCTGGGGGGACCTTCCTGGGTTGTCGCCAGGGCCACTCCTAGAGCCGCGTGTCTCCCCCCGCCCCGCGCAGGCACAGGCTGCCCCAGGAGCAGTGGTGGCTGAACCTGCGGCTGATGCTGAAGATGCTCGCCAACTACCAGATCAGCCTGACCGAGTACATCTCGGGGACGATGGAGCACGTCACCCGCCGCACGCTCAGCATCGAGAAGGGCTTCTAGTCCCAGCAGCCCAAGCCGTAGCTCTCCCCCGCCTCCTCTCCAGTCCCGTGTGCTGCTTGGGGACCACTGGGTCCCCTCTGTTCTCAGTAGCCCCATAGCTTTGCCATCGACCCCTTAAAGCAGGCAGAGCCTGGTCCCGGCTACAAAACAGCACAATCCCTGCCCCAAATCGCTGGTCCAAGGTCTGGTCCCTGTGCAAATGCAGAAAAGATGTGTCGCTAGAGCCCAGCTGCACAGCCCAGACCCTTAATACTTTATTCCTATTATTTAATGATGGGGTATCTCGATTCCTTATTTAGCGGCTTGACCGCCCTGAGCCAACTGCTGCTTTTAGTCGCCTGCCCTGCGTGCGGGAGGGGAGGTGAGGAGGGTGCGGTGCCATCCCGCAGCGGGTAGGGGCTGGTCCCAAGGGCTTTCGGCTGCCCCGTGAGCCCCGGTAAAGCTCCATCCTCCCGTGGTGTTTGCCCGATGGGACGTCTTGAGCACAGAGCACCGGTCCTGGCAAGCCCCTCTTCCCCGGCCACCTTGCATGACGCTTGGCTGCGACCATCACCGCGCGGCCCCAGGGGCCGTGCCCGTCATCTCACCGCTGCTCTGTGACCCCTCCAAAATCTTGTACCGTTCGCGGCGCTGCTCTCCTCCTCTACAGATAAAACCCGCTGGAACCAAACCTGCTTCGCCAGAGAGTGGTCATTGCGTGCCGAGTCCCCACGGGGAGGGAGGCGGGGGCAGACCTGGGGTTAGGATTCAGGGGACAGTGCCCACACGAACAAAGCCAGATAATTTGCCAGAGCCGGATTAATGCCGGGCCAGGAGGTTTCCCTGCTTCGTGCATCCTCAAAGCCTGGGAGAGTGGTACTGCGGGCGGCCTCTCCCTGGCCGGGTCGCAGCGGGTGCAAGGTCAGCATCCTTCAGCGGGCAGACTTCGCAATCCCTTGTTTTGGTTCCCACCTTCAAAGCAAGCGCAGCAGCGATTTATGGAGGCGATGCGCTTGTTTCGAAGGCAGTTTCTCAGGGCAGTTGCCAAGCGTGCCGGCTCCCGCGTGCAGCGCTCGGGCTTGGCTGAGCTCCCCCGTGTTTGGCCGATGCCAGATGGCTGCGCGTAGCCCCTTTCCCAGGCCGCTTTCCTCCTGGGGCTTTCGGTTGACGGCCCCAGCCTCTGGGACATCGCCAGCACCAAGATTCATCACAGCCTTTTGGGTTGAACATGCAGTTATTTTTTTTTTTCCCTCCCCACGGAGTTGTCCCCAAGGGGCAAGTCCCCCTTGATTTCCGTGCTTTTCCCCTAGTTGGCCACGTTACTTGGTTTAGCCTTCGGAGGAAGATGATAATTATTGTATCTTCCCTGCCAGAGCTGGTCAGGCAGAGAAGGAGCAAACCTTGCTGATGGAGGCAGCATCGCTGCTATTCCCAGGTGAATACCTGCTTTGGGGACCTGGCTGCTCCTCCCAGTGCCGGCGGGTGGGAAGCAGGCTCTCCCACCATCCCGTCTGCCACTTTGGAGGAGCGTCGAACAGGACCTCCTGTTAGCCATGGACCCCCTGCGCCACGGTGGTCCCACGTATCCGCCTCCGAGAGTCCCTGAGGATGGTTTGAACACAAGTCATGCTGGATCCGTGCTCCAGGGTGGAGAGCCCCTCGATTTTTCCAGCATCAGGAAACATCTGATTTACGGTTGGACTTGATGATCTTTGAGGTCTCTTCCAACCATAATGATTCTGTGATCTCTCACCGCTCGGTATCCCCCACTGAGGCAGGTCAGGGGGAAAGCACGTCACGCTGAAAAACCCCACAGTTGTACCGTAGCCCAGGTGGAGCCTCTTCCCCGGGTACAGCTGGCAAGCCCTAGGTGTTCGGCTCCTCTTCAGCCTGTGTTTTCTCCAACCTGGTGCTCTTACAGCAGGCAGGGCACCAGAGGGGCTGGCATGGCACCGCAGCCCCCTCCAGCAGCCAAAGGGGAAGGGGGGTGTCCCCACACTCAGACCAGTTGCACAGTTGGATGCGCTTGGGGACAGGCATGACTGCACCCCTAACATCTCATTTCCACCCAAAACCAACCAAAAACCAGCCTGGAGTGCCAAAGTCTTGGAAGGAAACGGACAGGGACAGGCCGAGCATCCCGTTGGTGTCAACCACCCTGTGCCCTGCCAGGATGAGCAGGAGGGGACGTGGTGACTCTGCACCCAGGCTCCTTGGCACATCCAGCCCAGCCCCAGCTTCTCCACCGTCCCCAAAGAAGCGGACAGAGCAAAAAGCCCCGAGCATTTCACAGCGAAAAGGCAGGCTGCCAGGTCCCCGGAGCGAAGAGGCATGAGCCAAAGGGGCCAGCTTCCCCCCGGGGCTGTGCCGAATGCGAGCAGGATGCTGCGAGGTCACCCTGCAAGGAGTGGTCAGGAACATCAAGGGCAGCTTGCCTGGCAGCGGGAACACCGGCACCGGCCAAGTATAACGAGCGCGGCACGTAGGCAGCGAGCTCTGCTCGGGGACGTCGTGCCGTCGGGGATTAACAGCCCAACTTCTCCATCAGAGAAGAGAGGAACTGTGCCAGCGCAGCCTGCGGCCACAGCGATTGCTCCATTAGCCACCCGAACGGCAAACCAGCCCTGATGACAAACGATGACGCTTGCTTCGATCGTTCTCCTCCCCGAACGGCAGCTCCCCCGTTCCCCAACGCGGACAGGCACGACTATTGCCACCGAGCAGGCTGTCGAGACAGCCTGGGAGAGGACTTGCCCTCGGCGCAAGGGCAAGATGCAAACAAGATGACGGGTAAGTCTCTCGGGCCCTGGCTGTCAAGGGAAATCTGGTATACTATAAATCATATTGGCTATTTCAATACAGCTGGGTTTAATGCAGAAGGGAAGAACGAGTCATTTGAAAAATTAAAGGCATCAGCAATCTTCACCTAAATGACAAGGGTCAAACTGTGCTCCCTCCCACCAAGGTCAAGTAAACAGGCTTGAGGACATAGGACTGTCACCATCCCCGAGGAGCGTTCCTTCCCGGCAGCACCACCCGGCACGCCGGGGCTCGGACACCTGTACAAACAGGGAGAGCGGGGACGTGGAAAGGCCACGCTGCTGGGATCCGCAGCCGAGTGGCATCAAAGGCTCGTGTCCTATGTCTCAGGGGCCATCGTCCCACCCGGGCAGGCTTTGCACCTCCGCAGGAGCAAGTCAGCTTTGCTCGCCATCTCTTTCGCTCCCTGCACTCGGTGTGGACTTGGGGCTGCGAGAAGTTTCCCAAATAGCACAGTGCCTTTGAAAAAAGCAGCCCCTTGCCACAGCTCAGCGCGGTACCAACCAGCACGGGAGGCGGGTGAGCCATTTCACAGGTCCAGTGAAGCGGGAAGACGCGGGGGCCCACAGCCCTCCTCCTGCTCCGCAAGGCTAACAATGCAAGCCCTGAACCAGACGTAATGGAGCAATGCCCAGAGTCAGTTGTTCTCGCTATGTTTGCTGAACCCCAGCCACGACTTACACGTCCTAGAGGAATAATTGGTTTTATTTGGTATGTCACAACATTTTAGTTTGTATTTAACGGCTCTATAAAAATCTTAGTAAATGCAGCTTCTTCAGTTAAAGAGAAACGCCACCCCTGATGCCTGCGCAAACCAGACAGTAACGCTCGGCTTGTTTTCTCCTAACTGCAAAACGCACAGGGGCTTTTTATTCTGATGTTAAGTTTCTTTAAGCTGCTCCAATGCCTGCAGGGGCATGCGGCGGTGAGAGAACAGCAGAGCATTCAGGATCTGGGAGAGAGTAATTTCTGTTTCACCTAGGCTGCACTGAGCTTTTCTTTGGGCCGCCTGACCCCTGAGCCAGATGCTGCATGCGCTAACGAGAACCAGAAGTCAGGAGTTAAAGATAAAATTAAGAATTTGACATCGACTTTCACAATCTGTTCCAGACAATTCCTGGTGATCGTATCAGGCAGTGTCTCCCCAGTAGACTTCAAAAAAATCAAATCTTTGCGGTGGAAACCACCTTCAGAGTCTGCTACGCAGAAACAGAGGCTGGCTGAGGGTTAGTCCGACAGGGATCCACCGACACGCCGTCGTCCACAGGCTTTGCCGTCCCCCTTCGATTGCACAACACAGCAGCAGCTCTTACTGCAGCCCTGCTCACTTCTGCTTTGCCAATTCGCCTCCAACTTCCACCAAACAGCCCCGGCGACACGAGATACAAACGTTAACGGAGCCTGCCACGCAAGCAGGAAAGCTCCCGAGAGCCAGATCGGGTGCTGCCAGCCCCAGCATGATGCGCACAGCCAGGGGTGATGTCAGGAGCTACAGGGACAGCCAGCAGCACCCAGCCCCTCCGCAGGGGAAGCACAGTAGGAAATACTGAGGCTTTGGCTGCAGCCAGGCATGTGTGGGCAGAACAGTGCTACAGGTCTGGGGCTGGCTGGTGCTCCGGGGAGATTCGTAATGGGCACCGTCATTCCTCTTGCAGCTCCTTCTTCCGAAAGGCCTGGAGCCTCCTCCCCACTGTCTGCTGGACGATCTCCAGACCCTCCGCGTCCAGTTCCTTCATGAGAAGCAGGATGGCGTTCAGGACGTTGTTCTGTCAGGATGAGAGAGACACTGCTTTATACAAGCACGTTAACACCAGCCCAGAAAAAGGATACTTGATTTCCAAAGAGCTGCTCTTTCTAGGAACTCCACCACCACCAGCAGTGCTTTGCAACAGCCACCTGCAGCTACAGGGACAGAACAACCAAGCCCTTGGGGCAAAGATGGGCAGAGACCACGTGTGACGAGGCTAACTGGAATGCAGGACAAACCCGTCCGCCCAGTCCCGAGCAGACTGCCCACATGCCTCTGGCTCCTGGCCACCCTCCCAACTGGCTTCTGTAAGAAAAGGGACTTTGAACAGCAACCGGCTTCTCTCTCTCTCTCTCCCCCCGCAGCATGACCGCATGTAGGATGGGAAAGGACAGGAACCCTCTGATCTGAGGAATAAGAAGAGCTGGTAGAATGGTGAAAGCACAAGCTGGAAGGAAGCCTTGAAGGTCCTCAGCCCAACCTTCCCACCCACGCAGGACTACTGCCAACACCAGACCATGGCTCTGTCAAACCATGTCTTGACAAACTCCAGGGAGAGAGATTCCACAGCCTCTCTAAATAACTGTCCCTCTAGGGAAAAAATCTTTTTCCTAACATCCAACCTGAATCTCCCCAGCTGCAATCTGTGGCCATTTCCCCTTCTTTGTTTTCTTTTCCTGAAGGCCAGAGCCTGTGATGCTGCAAAGCAACACACTCAAGTGCACTTAAAACATCAATGAAAGAGAGACTGCAGGCAACTGATACCGGAATGAGGTCTGTGGCCGTTTCCCCTTCTTTAATGTTTTCTTTTCCTGAAGGCCAGAGCCTGTGATGCTGCAAAGCAACATAGTCAAGTGCACTTAAAACATCAATGAAAGAGAGACTGCAGGCAACTGATACCGGAATGAGGCAGAACACGTTCTAGATCTCACTCTGGCCTCCCCGTGCCGACTGAAATGACGGCACTGAGCCCAGGAGACAGCAATTCCCAGCTCAACAACCAAGATCCATGAGGTTCATCCAAGGCTACACCACGGAGGGGGCTGAGGAACCACCTAAGCTTTCAATTCAGCAGTCTCCTTTCTGCCAGGCTAACAGTCTGCCGGCTGCGTTTCAGCCGCTGCCCAGCTACCACGTGGTCGTAGCACAACCCCAGTGAAGGGACACACATGCGCTCATGTGCAGACAGATCAAGAGGACAAACACCATCGGGCTTTCTTTACATTGCATGATGTCTTAAGATAAAATAGAGTATTTTCAGTTGGAAGGGACCTACAACAATCATCTAGTCCAATTGATGAGCTGTCCACTTCAGGGCTGACCAAAAGTTAAAAGCATATTATTAAGGGCGTTGTCCAAAGGCCTCTTCAACACTGTCAGGCTTGGGGCATCGACCACCTCCCTAGGAAGCCTGTTCCAGGGTTTGACCACCCTCTTGGTAAAGAAATGCTTCTTAATGTCCAGTATGAACCATCCCTGGTGCAGCTCTGAAGCATTCCCATGCATCCTATCGCTGTATCCCAGGGAAAAGTGCTCAGCATGTCCCTCTCCACGTCCCGTCCTCAGGAAAATGCAGAGAGCAGTGAGGTCCCCCCTCAGCCTCCTTTTCTCCAAATGAGACAAACCCAGACTCCTCAGCCTCTGTTCACAGGCCAGCCCTGCCACCAGCTTCGTTGCCCTCCTCTGGAGGCATTCGAGGACCTTCACATCCTTCTGAAATCGTGGGGCCCAGCGCCGTGCACGATGAAAAGCAATTTGGTCTTTAAAAGATACTCACTCTCTTCTTACGGTTGCAGTCTGTCTCTCGAGGTGAAAAGGAGGAAAATTTATCCCTGGGAACAGGCTTCATACCAAGCTCCTCTCGAATTTTGCTAAAGAAAGGGAGGAAGAGCAAATGTTTTTATGACCAGCTGGGAGAACCTCAGTCTGCGAGGCCAATCCTTTGTAATCGTGGGCAACCACGCAAGAAGTATCTGGCTGAAGGACTCAAGGCACATCTGCTCGCACACCACCACTGCCTACAGACCACAGCACCCCAAGAAAAACTCCCACATGAATTAAGAGGCTCAGAATTTAAAATATAAATGAGCACGCTGCCACAAGGAGTCTGTTCGCAGCCCACCCTGGGACAACAGATTCCCATGCCCGATGCTAGCTGGGACTGCAGACCGTGTAACACTGCACTTGAACAACCCGTGCCACAGCCGTGACGTGGGC